GTTTTTAAAACAAGTTACAGAATATGCATGCATATTTTCTAGCTACCGAAAGCTCAGTGTAAGCAAGAAAATTCAGACTCGGTAAGAAAGCTCATGCTTCACTTCTTCTCTTTATCACTTTCTTTAAAAGAGCCCCCACTAGAAAGAGACCGTGCACATTGGTACCGAAATGTGAAGTGCGGATTTTAAAAATAACTTCAACTTTCATAAAGCCATTTTTGCCTTAGGAAAGCTAAAATTTTGTGATTTTTCTAAATTAATGATTTTTGAAGTGCAGCTATAATCTTGACCTATTTAAAGTGTGGTGCTAGCTTTTCTTTTATTTGCTTGTAAGTATCAATGCCCATAGTAAATGGAAGAATCATGAATACCAAAGAAACAACTCTCAATCATATAATTTGTAAAACTCAGGTATCCAACCCAGAAAAGCAGGCCCGCTCAATTTCCACCAGAGAATGATCAGGGTTGCAACTGATTATATACACCCAACACATATTATTCATTTAGCAACTATTTGGTGAAAACCTACCATATAATTCTTATTGTTGGGGTATGTATACCACCCACACCATTGATTCTGACTTTTAGTGGACCCCATAGGACAGAGTAGAACTGCCCCATTAGGTTTCGAAGGCTAACAAATCTCTAGAACAGAAAGTCTCCTCTTTCTCCCAAGGAGCAACTGGTAGATGCGGACCACTGATCTGGCAGACAGCAGCCCAAGCACAACGCACTATGCCACCAGGACTTCTTGAAATGTTGAAGTTAACCGAGAAAAACAAACAAAAAAAGGTGGACTGGTAAATATTTAACAACTGCTAGGCTCAGGTGGGGAGGAGAGGACTTAAGTTGTAATATATGTTGGTTTTACTAATGTAAAAACTCCTATCATGCAAGCTTTCATACCACCCCCTTGACATCATTGCTTGGTGTTGGAAAGAGATTTGAAAAATCAATCTTTTGTGAGTCTATGTGAGTTTATTCTAACACACTACTAAAAATATGCCTACCCATGTGCACTCTATTGGCGAGAGACACAACATACTAGTAAAGTATGCATTATGTCAGATTTTACAGGGGTTATGGAGGGGGGACAAGTGAGGGGAAAGGGTAGACAGTATTGAGTAGGGTGGGAAATTTTAAATAAGCATTCTGGAATCTACTCTTAAAATGATGTTGCCATTTTTTTAAATGACATTTAATTAAAGCCCCACAGATGGTGAAAGAATGAACTCAATAGATAACAGAGGGAGAACATTCCATGGGAGGTTGGTGACAGGAACTTTCCAAAGGAGCAGTTTCTAGGAGGCTAAGTAAAGCCCTTTAGAAGTCTTTATAAAGATTCTGGTGATAGGAAATCATCAAAAAACAATTTTCTGCTTTGTTGTTGCTGGGTTTTTCTGTTTACTTTTAGCCAAGAAGTGGCATGATTTGACTTATGTTATCAGCAAGAGAACAATTAGCTGTGGGCAGAGATTAATATTATTGCATAATCCAGGCAAAACAACAAAACCCCAAAACACTGGTAGCTTAGAGCAGAGTAATAATGAAGAGAATAGTGAGAAATGGAAGATTCTAGATCCATTTGCCTAAAAGACGACAGAATTTTATTCTCAGTAACTTAAAAAATGGAATTAGTATTTAATGAATTGGAGCAGACAGAAAGATCCAGGGTTGCATGTAAAGTACATCCAGTTTGATATACTTATTAACAGAGGCCTTAGATATGATAAGAATGATTCATGCCCTGGGTGGCCTTTCAAGGGGAGTGTCATAGAGTATTTCCTACATTAGGGATCAGTATCCATTGCCAGCTGTGAGAGATCATTCGGAAATTTAAAACTAATGCTTTCCTATTTGAGAGCCTGTTCCTGACCTCAGGCTTTCTTCTCGAACTGACTGCCTCCCTCTACCATCCACCTTCTTTTGCCACCCAGTTCCAACTCCTGCCTGGTCTCTGAACTTCAGCACGCTGCACTGCCCTAGATGTTCATGGCTCTCCTTGTCTAGGCCAGGCCTCCCAAGGACCCATCCCTATGAAAAACACCCCCTTTTCCCCCATGAACAGTTTCTAGACATTAGGAACTCTTTTCTTCTAATCCAACCTTCTACCAAACCAGAGGGAAATTTTACCCCAAGGCAGAGAAGGACTAAGTTGATGGGGATGCCCTTGAGGGCCATTTTTTAATGGTTTCTCACCCATGAAAATGAATCATTACGTCCCCAACAAAGACTTCTGATTGTGGAGTTTATTGCCCAAGGTGCATGATGAGGTTAGTTACTTAAGGTGGAGCTGAAATGCTTGGACGGGGACAAAATTGTAGAGCCTGCCATTTTTGCTCTATTTTTGCTAGCTAGGCCTCAGCCTATGAGATGTCTGGGCAGTGAAAAAGAGGAAGGTCTTCAGTGCGATGGACTGACATGATGGCTGCATCAATGGGCTCTGGCATTGGAAAAATGGTGAGGGTGGTGCCGGACCGGGCAGTGTTTTGATTTGTGGTGCACTGGGTTGTGATGAATTCGAACAGACGAGATAACACCTAACAACATTAGACACCCATTGGAGCTGTAGACTAGACATTTGGGTATATGAATCCATTTTCAGGAAAAGGTATGACCTGGAGATGGAACCTTGTGATCATTCAATCACTTGGTCTCAATGGGAACACTAGGAAAGTGAGTATGATTGTGTTTAACAGACGCTTATATAGTGTTTAAGAAGCCATCGTAATGCTGTTGGTTAGATAGTGGGCTACAGCCTGGTCCATTCAAATGCACTAGCCACTCAGGAGCAGAAAGATGAGGCCGACCGCTCCTATGAGATCCACAATCTCAGAAACTATATAAGATCACCAGGAGTCAGAATTGCCTCCATGAAATTGGGTTTGCTTTTGGTTCATATAATGTTGCTAGGTTCTAGCACTGTTCTTTGTGCTTTGTAAGTATTAACTAATTTAATTCTAGGAACAACCTTAGGAGGCAAGACACTATTCTTCCCCACCTCCTACCCCCATTGCAAAATGAAGCCAAGGTTAAGTAACATGTCCAAAGTCACTAATAACGGGTAGAGCTGGACCTTCTAACCAAGGATGTCTGGACCACAATTCTTGTTAGAGAACTGGTCTAAAAGCCTACAGTCTCAAGCACCCCAAGAAGGAGAGGTCCGGCGAGGAAGCCTTTCACTCCGTCCTGGTCACCCAGCAGGTGTCTTCCTTTCCCATAGACAAGACTGGCTGTGCCTGCGGCAAGCACATACAGCGATGCTTTGTTTCCCGTCACATATTTTTTCCTATTTTCTAAAATAAAAACTCAAACTGACCGCCATCCAGACGGTAACTCTCTACAGGAGTACAAAGCCCCCGCTTTCTCTCCTTCTAAAATAAGGTCATAATACATCTGGAATCAGAAAAGATTATGCTAAATGGATAGAGGTTGAAGAACTATTTCTTGTAATGTGTTTTGATGGACATGTCCTATTCTCTTTGGGCAGCATAGCTCAGAGAAGAGCTATAATGATATTCATTGCAGAAAAATTGGCATGGACCTCTCCAGTTGAGGTCCAAATCTGAACAGTTCCTAGGAGTGAAAATCGCCACTAGTTATTGCACCATAATGACAAGGTGAAGTTTGAAGAGCAGTTGCTATCAAGCCGATTCCAATTTATGGTTCTCTCTTCGGTGCCAGAACAGACTGAGGTCCATAGGATTTTCCATGGCTAGGGTTTCCGAAATAAACATTCTGCAGTGCCTCTGGGTCGACATATAAAGCCAGCTTTCCCCTCCACAGCCCAGAGCATTAACTGTTTGCACTTCTAAGGAATTCAGGTTTTAATAAGGACTTCAGAAAACAAACCTATGGTGTAGGTAAAGACCCCAAGAAGCCCTTTTCTTAAGTACGGTGTTTGCCTGAGCACAACGTTCTGTGAGCATTTACAAGGATTATTGAGGCCCTTTAGCTGTCTGCTGTAAGTTAAACATACTTTTGTTCTCTGTTGTTGTTTAGCCTTTTGACTAACTACTGTTTGGAACTCTCATTAGACTCACATTCATGGAGTCGATACTGACTCATAGAGACCCTATGGGTTAGGGTAGAACTGCCCCTGGGAGTTTCCAAGACTGTAACTCTTTAAAGGAGTAGAAAAGCCCTGTCTTTCTCCTGAGGAGCTGCTGGTTGGTTTTCAAACTGCCGACCTTGCAGTTAGCAGCCCAATGAGTAACCCCTACACCATCAGAACTTGGTTGTTTGCAACTGCATATCAGTAAACAAACTGAGGGCCTCTTCTATGGTGGTGTACACATGTACTAGTGATACATACTCTAGTTGGGGCTCCACTCATCCCTATGATGAGAAATTATGACATCGGATTTCAGCTATTTTGATGAAAGCTCCATACTAAGAATTTGAAAATATATACTAAATATGCTAACTATAAATGCAATCTAGTAAATCGGGGCTTTACATAGAGAGTAGCACACAGGGATGCCTCGCTTTATGGCACTTGGCTTCCTTGTGTTTCACAAGCACGGCAGTTTTTACAAGTGGTAGGATGGTGGCAAACCCGCATGGAGCAAGTCTCCGTCATTTTTCCATCAGGTCTTTGGTCAGTCTCACAGCATTTTCAGGGTCTCTATAATGCTAATGCACACTTAGTAGACTACAGTATACTGTACACATAGCTTTCATGTACAGTGAGAGTCAGAGTCTGAATCACTCACTGAGTTGCGACGACGTTGGCTTCCCTGCGGTGGTCTGAAACAGAACTGGCGACATCTCCGAGGATGCCTGCATGTGTAATTAGTGAACACGAGCCTCTTCATGGCTATTCTAACTTAAAGGAGCTGAGTAAGAAGGACATATATATGGGTGTCCACTTCTACTTCCTATGCTACTTTTAATATTACAGATACTAGCTTTGGTGTGGAACGTAGACAAGATGAAATGGCAAAATAGAAATACAAGGGAATATACTGTACCTTGTTTTACCTGTATGGAACACACACCTGACAAAAGGCAATTTTCACATCCAAGGTAGGTTCACTGCAGTAGTACAAGAAATTGAGGCTCATAAATACCTACAGGAACACAAGAAGGAGCATAAGTTTTCCAAATGTTCTCATTATTATTTTTTTATTTTACAGTATAAATTTAATATCACCGAATCATGCACAAGGTGTTGTTCACAAATTGTCTGTGGCATTTATTCAAATGAACATATATCCAGACAGGCATCAGATACTCTTCACAAGTTATGACAAATAAATAAATAAAATGAGGAACAAAAGCTTGATCTCCAATCGCCAACATCAGACTTCTAATAGTCAGATCAAAGAAACCAAGAAACTAAGGATGAGCACGGCCTATAATGCAGCACTTTCCATTCTAGGCATCTCGTGGGGACAGATCCCCTCAAAACATGCTCAAGAGGATATACACACTAAGATTTAGGACAGAACAGAAGGACTAGGGAAATAAACTATTTATGGTGGAATTCTATAAAGTACTTGAAATAGCTGAACGGGAATTTTGTATCAACAGACATGAAGTTTTCAAACACGATACTGCGTAGTTAACAAAGCAATTTTCAAAGGGGATGAAGATCACAATATTGCTGTAATTTTTTTAATTAAACAAAATTTTTTTAATTAAACAAAAAGATCATATAAGAAACTTGGGCATTATATGAAAACTAGTGGAGAATACCTGTAAATGGAACATTATGTTCCTCTCTGCTATCTTGGGATGTCAGTGTCCCACTTAATGGTATGTGCTGGTACAACCATGTAACTGTTCAGAAATGAATAAATGTTCAGGGATGCCAGACCACTGTATTGAGTGGTTACTGCATGAAGTGATGCAGCCCAGTGGTGTGATTGTATGAAACTGTTTCTCTTTTGGCTTTGCATTATGACGAACCTTGTAAGTATAGTTACAGATCGTGTGTGTGTGTGTGTGTGTGTGTGTGTGTTGGATGTGTGTTTTTGGTGATAGACTTTTTAAGTGCAAACCTCAAAGATTTCCATTTCATGAATCATAAGGAGTTGTTTTGTTCTAGAAATGAATTCATTGTAGCAGTCATTTGCTCATAACACCAACGCCTTTTGCTGGCTTGCCTTTTACAGGAGGTCTGATTCACACAGCGTCCTCCTTGTACATTCTCATGTTTGTGTGGAGGTATGGTATTGGTACTATGCTAGTGCTGAAGAGCCTGAAATTATTTTTCTGAAATATGCCCCTTATTTTAGAAATGGACACTTGAAAGAGTATAGAAATCTAGAGTGTTTATTTTCTGTCCCCAAGCAGAGGGAGGGTCTGAGGAGGAGTGCGAGGAAGGGACCTCCGAGGGCTTCCAGTCTCATGGAGCCTAACGCTCCTTTTGATGGTTGCAGCACTGATACTGCCATGATCACAAACAATGATGGAGCAGTCGACTTAGCAGAAGACAGGGTTGAACCCGATGATGATGATAAACCGATGAAAGCCAAAAGAAGGCTGGTGAATGGTGTGAATATTTCTCCTATTTGAAAATATAGTGACCTTGCCTCAGCAACATGGAAAATTTTACCGAAACTTGAACAATGAAGGTGTAGAAGTAGCTTGTATTTTGTCAGTATTTACTGAAAATGACAAAAGACTAATGGATCTCTATGCAAGCCAATAGTGCACAATATGATACACAAGGCAGGAGGCGGGAGATTAGACAGCTCACTAAACACACACTAATCGCCCACGCCTTTAAAGGAAGAAGGCAGTCATCTCTGTGCATGTACCAAAGGCGCATGTCTTGCTGGAGCACAAAGATTATGAGTCCGATGACCCCGCGTGGGTGTTTCTTTGGTGCAGAACGTATGGTTACAAAAAGAATCAATACATTGACCTCAGAAACGGATAGAAATAAGAAATCAAAACCTAAAAATAAAACCAAAGTCACTGCTATCGAGTCCTGGCTGACTTGCTCTTTCTCCGGAGGAGGGGCTAGAGGTCTCAAATCTCTGATTCTTTGATTTGCAGCCCAACGTGTAACCCATGTGCCAGTGGGACTCCAGAGCAATACACAGGAGAGCTGGCTACAGCCACTTGCAGGACTTGTGTCCAATGACCCATGCTCTCACGAGCTCTCTCTCCATCGCTACCTAGAAGAAGTGGTTGTTCCATCAAGCGTCATGACCATCTAGGAAAGCTTGGGACCACACCAGGGCTGTTCTTCAATGAAATAGTACAAGTCCCTGTGCAAACGGTTTTTGCTTGGCTGACTCATGAACTAACTTTTTAAGTCAGTTTGAGATCTCTACTGGAAAAAAGGCATATACAATGACTCATCTCTCTCCCTCTGAGACAGTGTTGTACTTGAACTCTGCCATTCATGCAATCTATTCTCTTTGGCTTCTTGCTTAAGTTTTCACCCCCTGCTACTAGATGACAAGCCTGAATGACTGGTGACTCTACGGTGTAGGTACCATGGGAGCTCACAGAAAGTGACTCCTGGACAGGATGAAGAGGAAAGGTAAATTAGAGCAGGCAGAATTTCTGTGTCCTTCAAAAGGATGCGTGTGGCAGTGACAAGAATCCTGTGACAGTTCAGGTTATTGGTGTTCCACAAGCCAAAGAACATCCTAGGTGTCCAAAGAAAGGATCAGGATGGCTAATCCTCAATAATCAATTGCACAAGAGCAGGGACACCCTGTGCATTAACCAGAGGTAGGAGAGGTACACAATTGGAAGGATACACTCAAATTGACATATTTACTTATTAAACTTGGCCTTGTAAATGGTTTCACAAGGCAGAACTGTAACAGTGAGGGCAGATATGACTAGTGTCTTCAGGTTTGTTCTCATTAAGCAGCTGACTGTGAACCAGAAATTAAAAGGAGAGTAAATCCCTCCTTTCTTAACATGAACAATCCAGAAGTAAAAGAAAACAGGACAACCCCATCCACGGCCGTGAGTCAACGCTGACTCACAGGGAACCTTTGGGCTCAGTAGAACTGTGCGGTATGGTTTCTGAAGCTGTTAGCCTTTATGGAAGCAGACTGCTTCAGTCTGTTCCTGCAGAGTGAATTGAACCCACTGGCCAAGCCACCAGTAAGTGGGGTGCTGAATGACCTACAACCCCGACAGCCTGGAAAACCTTTACCTGCCAAGGAACCTCAAAGGTGGGGCCGAGTAGGTGTCCTGAGAAGGAATCTTGAACACCATTACGTGCAGCCATGGAAGGTGTCTTTATGTGTGACTTCATGTTTTCAAAGGTTTCACAGATGAAAGTAATAACAATGTACAATCTATCGGGGGTTTGCGGGGGAAGGGGAGCAGGAAGAAAAAAAAGAGCTGGTACCGAGGGCTCACTAGAAAGTACACATCTAGAAGAGAATGAGGGCAACATATATCAAACATGCCTGATTCAACGGATGTATGGATTATGAAAAGAGTTGTACAAGTCCCCAATAAAATCATTTTTTTTAAAAAGGTTTCACAGAATAAAATAAAACTCCTACCATAAAATGATATTTCTAAATGCCTCAGCCCACTAATCCAGCTCCGAGAGTCCAGTGGGTCAAATGTGCCTCACATCATATTTATCAAAATCAATATTGCCTAATAAACATTTTAAAGAATTAAATAACTCAGCATGCATTCTACTACTGGGAAAAAGTGCTAGCTACAAAAACAGCAGAGGAAATTAAATAATTTTCAAAGTGTTTGAAATATTTTATAATTGAAAATGTTTTGCAGAGTAGGTATATCATGGAATGGTGGTGATGCCAACTTAGATGCTGGGTTACTTAAGAATAATGACACACCATCAGAGAAGCCTACAATTATCCCTGAAACATACACGATATCCTTTAATATACATAGCTGAGTTGCCAAGAATAAAGCAAGAAAAGTTCTAAGAAGATGAAAACAGTAAAAGGACACATGTTGTTGCTGTTGGTAGGTGCCGTGCAGTTGGTTCCAACCCATAGCAGCCCTGTGCACAACAGACCACCACACTGCCTGCTCCCGTGCTGGCCTCCCACCTGTTCCTGTGCTTGAGCCCAGTGCTGCAGCTGCAGTGGCACCCCATCTGACTGGGGGCCTTCTGCCTTTGCACTGCCTCTCGGCTTGAAAGTCAAAGACATATCCAGAGAGGGAAATGAATGCCATGGTTGACACTTGTCCTGGACTCTCTGCTGCTGCCTGATTCGATGCCACGTTCTTCTTCATCTAGATCGGCCAGGACAAGGATCAATAATTGGAAAATATGGCGTTGGTCATAGAAATGCTACCAGAGATTGGATGGTCGACATGCTAGTAGGAGGAACCAATTCCTAGGTGACGAAAGAAGAGAGTCGGTGAAGAGAGGAAGGCCCCAAGGAGATGGCTTGACGTGGTGGCTGCAACAAGGGGCCAGGGATTGTGGAGACAGGCGGGGCGATGCAGCATTTCTTACTGTGTGTTGTAGCCGGGTCACTGTAAGTCAGAACGGACCCGAGGACAAGACTCATTGAATAAGACTTATTTTTTTCATTTGCTATCCTCTGTTGACTTATTGGACTTTTACTTTTTATGACTGCTTTTTCTACTATTTCTGATGTGAAATTTTAACTTATAATAGTAATAACCCAACATCTAATGATTTATCTGCTTTACATATAGTCTACATATGTAGCAGTATACGTCCATTCCCCTCCTCAATTTCTAGAGCTATTGTTGCCATACACTTTATTTATGCATATATTCTACACACCATAATATATCACTACTTTTTGCCTTACTCAATTAAATATTTTTAAATGACCAGGTAAGTATTTTATGTGTACTCCCATATTTACCACATGTATGACTCAGATGTCATTAGGTTTTACTCTCAAGCATTTATATATTTTGGCACTGTAAAAAAAACGTTCCCTCCCCACGCCAGTACGACCCCCAGACCGCGTCTTCAAAAAAGGGTGTGGGGAAGAACAGTTGCACTGTATCAGTTCTATTTGTTAAACAAGAAGTATTGCATGAAATGCGTTCACGTAATACAATCTTTCCTTTGGGTTTAGAAATTTTTAAAAAATGTTCCTTTTCCTTTTTCAGTGATTATTTA